GAATTTGAAATGATCCTCCTACCTCAGCCTCCCCAGTGTTGGGATTGCAGATGTGTGCCACCATGCCTGCTAAATTGTCATTTTTGATTGTCTTTTTGCAAGACAGATGTAAGCTGTTAGCATCATATTTGAAATCACGGTTTTGTGGTATTTGCCACTAGATGGAAACCTGTACCTTTTAAGCCATCAGAATCACTGGGCAAACATGGAGTTCTCAGACTAGTCCTGATCAGCCATTGGAGCAACTTCTGTGTGTGCCCTGAGTTGCCTACAAGTTATAGCTGTTGATGCAGACTGAACTGAATGCATGTTTCTAAACAAAATCATTTGAGTCCCTCTCCTAGAAACTAAGCTAGAATTTGAGAAAAGGTTGGGGATAGGGAAGGGAAGTGTTGGCTGCTGAGGTTTGGATCTGTGGACTCACAGACCTATGCGTCTGGATCCTTTGGTCTCTGCTTGAGGAATGGAAGGTTCTCTTGGGCCTGTCAGGAAGAAGGTTGGGTGGGAGACATGGAAAGAGCATGGGGACTGTGTGGGCCAATTAAAACAGTACCTAGATTGTGTCCTGTTTGCTACCTCTTCTGAAGAGGGGAATGGGGCAGGGAGTATTGAATTTCTTTTCCCATTAGAGATTTTTTTTTTTAACTTAACAGGTTTAAAATAAAATTTTATTCTTACTCTCCTTTTTTTGTCTTTTTTGAGACAGGGTCTCGCTGTGCAGTTCAGGCTGGCCTTGAGCTCACTTTGTAGCCTAGGCTGACCTCAAACTCACAACGATCCGGGGCTGGTAATTTAGCTCAGTGGCAAAGCGCCTGCCTGGCAAGCGCAAGGTCGAGTTTGATTCCTGGTACTGGAAGCAAAACAAAAACAAAAAAGCAAACAAACAAACAAACAAAAACTCACAGGGATCCTGCCTCAGCCTCCTGAGTGCTGGGATTACAGGCATGTGCCACCAAGTCCGGCTTACCCTCCTTTTTAAAAGTATCTTTTGTGGGCTTTCAGGCGTTTGTTATGAGTTAATTAAATTTAAGTGTTTTGAAATGTTAACTAAAAATAATGTTTTTAATTTTTTTTCTAGGAAAGCCACCAGAGGAAAAAAAGGAAATCAGAAGCTATAGGAACGAGTGACCAGATTGACTTGTTGGCTCTTGGTACAGCAGTTGGTAGCGTTTTATTGTACAGTACGGTAAAAGGAGAATTGCACAGTAAATTAGTAGTAAGTGTATTTATATGTATTTTATATGAAAGATGTGATGAGAACTGAGATTATTAGAAACACTTCAAGAAATATGATGAGATCTGTACTATATGGACAGTTTTCTGTCCTTTCTACATTTAAAGAACTGAAGTTTTTGTTCTATTCTGTTTCGTTTTGGAGACAGGGTCTCACTGTAGTTGAGGATGGCTCTAAACTTACTATGTAGCCCAGGCTGCCAGGCTGACCTCAAACTTGTAGTGATTCTCCTGCTTTAGCCTACTAGGTGCTGGGATTATAAGCATGTGTATACCACCAGACCTGGCTTAGTAGTAATATTTGATAAGAGCTGAATTAGGTAACATCATCTTTGTTAGGGGTCAGAGTGTGAGGAATTATTGACTAAAGTTAGCATAGGGAAAGGTCAAAGGAACTCCAGGGTATCACAGCAGCTGCAGGAAGCAGTTAGCCATTTCTTTTGGGCAAGGGGAGCAAGGGAGGCAGTTGGAATTACTGCTGAAGCTGAGACCTGTAAGGAGCAGGTCTTCTGTTGGTGTTGCTGTCTCTTGAGCAGCCACATGGATTTGTGGGACAGTTTGGGGCAGGGTGGGTCTCTAGCTGCCTGATGTCTCTGTAAAAGGTGAAGGGGCTGGCTTTTCTCAGGGCTAAGGAAGTAATGCTTCAGGCTCAGCTGCTGCTGGTGGCATCCACTGATGGGCTAAAAAACAAGCTATTGAGGTGGTGCAAACAAGGGGACAGGAAGGAACTGGTCCCTTATTTCTTCTTCAGCTGTGTCTTCTGCTAGCACTCCTCACTGGCAGAGTTTGTGGATGCAGCTGGCAAAGCAGAAGTAAGGTTTGCAGAGTCTCAGCCCCAGCATTATAAACAGAAGCAGGATGCATTTGGCACTGGAAGACAGTAGTTTAACAGGCAGATTTTGGTATACAGGGATGCTTTCTGTGTGAAGGAACAAAGCAGTTGTTTTTTATTTAAGACTTACATTTCTTTTTTTTTTGTCTTTTTGAGACAGTCTCACTATGTAGTTCAGGCTGGCCTTGAGCTCACTTTGTAGCCCAGGCTGGCCTTGAACTTAAAGCAGTCCTCTTGCCTCAGCCTCCTGAGTGCTGGTATTACAGGCCTGAGCTGCCATGTCTGGCAAGACTTCATTTCTGTCTATAGAGAATTTCTATCACCTAAGAGATTCTTTTTTTTTCTTTAGTGGAGGGGCTCTTTTTGAGACACAGTCACGTTATGCAGTTCAGGCTGGTTTTGAACTCACTTTGTAGCCCAGGCTGGCTCCAAACTCACAATGATCCTCCTGCCTTAGCATCCTGAGTGCTGGGATTACAGGTGTGCACCACCATGCCCAGCTGAGATCCATTGTTAATAGTTTTTGTGTGTTGCTTTGCTTAACATGTGTGTTTGTCTGTTATGTATCCTGACTTTGTTTCACTAATTTAGAACACAAGCAATTTTCCTATTGTCAAGGCTAGTTTTAAACATTTTTAATGATTGCGTAAATTCCCACTAAATTGGATATATTTTATTATAATACTGTTATTGACCATTTGGAAATTTTCAGGTGTGAGTTTTTCTTTTTCTTTTTTTTCCTGTAAAACAGTGCCTGTAATTCCAGCACTCAGGAGACTGAGGCAGGGGCCTTGTAAGTTTGAAGGTAGCCTGGGTTGTATAGTGAGACCCTGCTTCAACAAAACAAAACATCAGTTTCTTGTTTTTTTTCTTTTTTCTTTAAGTTATCTTTATTATAAGGAAAATACACAGCACAACATAGTAGGAAAGTGGTTGGAAAATATGGAAAATGTAATTATCAAACTGCCCCAATATGACTTGCTGTTACAGAGGAGAGTGATGTGGCTCTTCACCTCATTTGCCTTTCCTGACTCAGTCCTGCCCTTAGCAGGGCTGGATCCAAGGTGTCCATTTTGCAGTCCGTTCTCTTCCTGAGCTTGGAAAAGGTTGTGTAGTTCTCAGGCTTTCAAGAAACAAAAGAGAGGTCAGAGAAGGGACAGATGTTTTGGTCCTTTGTTGCATTGCCTTCTCCATGTCTGGGGTTGTCCTCAGCCCAACCCCTCGGGATCTGTTGATGCCAAAGAGATGAACCCCATGGAACTGGGGGCAACTAAGGCAGCAGTATGCTGACAGTGAGGCAGTGTTGATGAGGAAGTGGGCAGCATTATATTTGGCATAGAAGCTGGCCAGGAGGTAGAGTATAATAAGAGATGCTAAAGATCGTGTGGGAAGAGATAACTGGAGCCCAAAGTCCATCTGCTCCCAGTGTGTCAATAGGTGAGCTTTTCCTTGGTCAGGAGTCTCAAAGGTTGTAGGAAGACACACATTGCCAAGTTGTGGATGACATTGGTTGGGGTCCGGATGACAAGAATGCTCAGGAAGAGGATGCGGAGTAGAAGCATATGCAGAAATCCTACAAGATGGTGTAGGCCAGCCAGATACCCTGACTATTCATCACTTGAGTGTGGGGGTTTACTTCACTGTACCAGTCCCACATTCATCCTATCACAATGAAGGGATCAGGCAGGAGTCCAACTTAATTTTCTGTCAACTCCTGTTGGAGTGTGTTTCCCCCAGTTATCTCTCTGAAGAACCACAATGTTCTGAACTCCAGCAGGAACATCCCTGCCATCTTTAAGAGCTGGTGCAGCTAGGGGCATGGTGCTTCCTCCTACACACTGACTGTTTCTTACATGGATTCCTTCAATTACTAAACAGTAACGAGGGCTGGGGATTTAGCTCAGTGGTACAGTGCTTGCTTGGCAAGCACGAGGTCGTGAGTTCGATTCCCAGTACCGGAAAAAAACAAAAAAAAAAACAAAAAAAAAGTGTTACTAAACAGTAACGAGAGAGCCAAAGAGTTGAGTGTGTAGGCTCTTTATAGACAGCATAAAAATGATGTCTGAAAATGTTATTTTGTGCTTACATCATCAGTGGAAGGATAGTACCTCTTCCAGTGGCATTATTGTGACAACTGAATATACCATTAAAGCAGTGGCAATGATTAAAAAAGAAAACCCACCTAATTTAGTAGATGAAACGTTTTATATGATTTTTTTTTTTTGATTTTTGTTTTGTTTTGTTTTGTTTTTTGTCTTTTTGAGACAGCGTTTAAGTATGCAACTCAGGCTGGCCTTGAACTCTGTAGTCCAGGCTGGCCTCAGACTCACAGAGATCCTCCTGCCTCAGCTTCCTGAGTAGTGGAATTACAGGCATATGCTACCATGCCCAGTGAAAATTTTTGTTTTTTTGAGACAAGGTCTCACTATGTAGTTCAGAGTACAGGATGTCAGAGTGGTACAGTGAAGTAGACAGACTAAGCTTTACAGTTAGTCTGTCCTGAGGTTGCATCTCCTTATGTGATTGTGGATAATTTCATTTCTCATCTTTTAAATGATTATTCTACACCCTTTGTACAGCTTGTATAACTGTAGTAAGACCTGGACATAAAAATATATTGAAAGTGCATGGTTTATAGTTAGTAAACGTTGGTTGAATGAGTAAGTGAACGAATGAGGGGGCATGTTGGCAGATTGCTGTCTGAAAGGAAATGCTCAATTTCACCACCCCTGGCCATGTCTTACAGTCCCTTTTTTTTCATTTAACTATAATCTCATCAGCATGGACAGCGTAGTGCTGAGCAGATCACTAGATTAACAGACTTAAAGGTCTGCTTTTTGGCTTGTATTTGATTACTAAGAATATTTTAATACACTTGATATATCTGAATTCTTTCTGTGGGATTTATATGTTTATGTGCTTTTTAATTCTTTGTACGTGTATGTATAGGTAAAATATAGGACTTTGAATAGCCTGCTGAAGAGGGAAGTAACACCTTAATGTTTTAATATATTTTTTTTTCAAGTAGTAGTAATTTTATTTGAAAACACCTTCCATGATTTTGATTCTTACATATGTATACAGTGGTGCTTAACTGTATGTGTATTTATATGAATTAGGTACAAAGAGTGAAAATAGTTATAATGTATGTGACTTAGCACCTCATTTTGCTAAGTGAGTTTGTCTTGGAGTATATATGAAATGAGAGACAGTAATCTTTTTTTTTTTTTTTTTTTGACAATCTTTGACAAGAAGACAATTTTTTAAAATCTTGAGACAGTTTTGTTACGTAGTCCAGGCTGACCTTGAACTCACCTTGTAGCCCAGGCTGGCCTCGAATTTGCAGCGATCCTCTTGCTTCAGCCTCTCTAGTGCTACAGGCATGGGACACCATGCCTGGCCATGAAGACAATTTCTAAACGCAGATTTAAAATCACATAAAAAGTTTCATCTATCACGTTAGCAAGGTGTCTGTTGCTGTGGTCTCTATTCTTCCTCTCTGCTCCTAGTAGGGGAGCATCGTGGTGTGCTGAAGTGCTGCTTAGATGGTGTGGCCATAATATGTACAGCCATTTAGTGTTTAGCTAAAGAAATAGTGACTCTTTTTAATTGAAAGAGAAGTTTGTTTTGTATTTTGAGACAGGGTTTTACTGTGTAGCTCAGGCAGGCCTTGGGTTAGCTTTGTAGCCCAGACTGACCTTGAACTTGTGATCCTCCAGATTTAGTCTCCTGAGTGATGAGATTATAGGCATGTGCAGCTGTGCCCAGCTCCTTCACTTCTTTTGTTTCTTTTTAGTACTGGGGATTGAATCCAGTACCTTCACTAAGAGTTACCCGCCCACTCCCATTTATTATGGAAGACCAGGTCTTGTGAAGTTGCCCAGGCTGGGCTGCAAGTTGGGGTCCTGCTTCAGGTTCTTGTAGTGCTGTAATTGTGTGCATGTGCTATTTCTAGTACTTTTTCTAAAAGATATTTTCTAACTAAATTTTTACCTTTTACGAGTTGATTTTGCTGGGTGTGGTAGCGCACACCTGTAATCCCAGCACTTGGAAGCTGAGGCAGGAGGAGGAGGATTGCTGTGAATTTGAGGCCATTGTAGTCTACACAGTGAGTTCAAGGCCAGCCTGAATGACAGAGTGAGACCCTGTCTCAAAAAACAAAAACCAAACCAAATTAAAACAAAACAAAAATAAAAGTTGAGTTTAGACTCTGCCATGTGACTTTACTAATTCTTGCCACTGTTCAGATTTATGGCTCTTAGAGTTGGCATTTTTGTCAAGAGAAAACAGCATTTAAGATTAGTACTCTTCAATTTAGAATGTGGAGCTAGGTTTTTCTTACAGAGAAGGGAAAGTTAATATTTTGATGTAGATGTTTTATCTCAGTTTTGAAAACTGAATTGGAAATTTTGGAAAACTAAAATGGGTAGATATAGGTTAAGGCTTGACATTTTGTTTAACTGGTAATGACTCTAGGATTCATAGTACCATATAAGAATTACTTTTGTTTCTTTAAATTTTTTAATCTGCAGGACGGTGGTCATGATAACAGAGTCAATTGCATACAGTGGCATCAAGAGAGTGGCTGCTTATATAGTTGTTCAGATGATAAGCATATTGTGGAGTGGAACATACAGACGTGCAAAGTGAAGTGGTGAGTAACATTGCTATGTCTGGGTGGGGGTGTTGTCTCAGTGACCTTTTAGAATGAGCCCTAGACAGACCCTGGTGGATCTAGTGGGGACATACATGTTGATATGGTACAGACTGTTCTTGTTTTGTTTTGTTTTTTTGTTTTTTTTTTTTCCGGTACTGGGAATCAAACTCACAACCTTGCACTTGCCAGGCAGGCGCTGTGCCGCTGAGCTAAATCCCCATCCCCAGTACAGACTGTTTTTAAGGAATGTTTAGTTAAACTGGGCACGTAGGACTTTAACACAAAAGCCAAATGGTACAAAAGTAAAGTAATTGTATAAGAGATGTCAGAAGGGAGCATGTGTTTACTTCTCAGATGAATACGGCACTGTTGGGAAAGGAAGGGATTTCAGTTGGACCTTCTACAACAGGTAAGATTTGAATAGAGGAGGCAGGAGAATGGTTTAATGAGCAGGGGAAGAAGGTGGGGAGTTGGCAGAAACTAAGGCTAGGAGTCCAGAAAGTGGAAGATTAACTTGGTACGGAGTAAGCTAATTTTGAGGGTCTAGGGCATGTAGGGCATAATGCACGGTAGAGAATGGAACTGTCCTCCAGTTAATGGTGTGTACTTATCTCAGATGCCCATTTTTAGATTGGGTCTTTAAATTTGGGTGGTCTGATATTTATGAGTTCTTCATATGTTCTTGATAGTAATCCTGTGTCTGGGGGACAGCTGGCCAACATTTTTTCCCACACTCTTCACTTGGTGGTTTCTCTTGCTGTGCAAAAGCTTTTTAATAAGGTGAGATCCCAGTTGTTGATTCTTTGTGATAGTTCCTGTGCGATTGGGGTTTCATTCTAAAGTCTTTACCTACACCACCATCTTCAAGAATTTTATCTATTCTATCTTCCAGTAGATTTAATGTTTCTGTTTTAATATTTATATCTTTGATTTATTTCGAATTTAGTGCATAGTGAAAGGTATGGGTTCAATTTAAATCTTGCCATATGCAGAGCCAGTTTTAACAGCACCATTTATTAAAGAGGCTATCTTCCAGTGAATGTGTTTGGCACCTTTGTCAAAGATAAGGTGGCTGAGTAGTCTGAAGTTGTTTCTGCATCTTCTAATCTGTTCTATTGATCTTCCGGTCTTTTTTTTTTTTTTGGCAATTCCATGCTGTTTTTATCACAGTAGCTTTATGGAATAATTTGAAGACAGGGATTGTGATGCCCCCTGCCTTTCCTTTGTTACCCAGAATTGTCTTTGCTGTTACTCTAGGTCTCTTCTGGTTCCAAATGAATTTTAGGATTATTTTCTCTAATTCTGTGAGATATGCTGTTGAAATTTTGATCAGAATTGCATTAAATCTGTGTCAGTTTTGGAAGTATGGCCATTTTCACTATATTGGTTCTCCCTACCCAAGAGCAAAGGATAGCTTTCCATTTTCTAACATCCTCTTCAGTCTCCTTTTACAGAGTACTGTAATTTTCAATGTAGAGGTCTTTTATATCCTTCATTAGATTGATTGATTCCTAGGTATTTCATTTTTTTGGATGCTATTGTGAAAGATGTTGTTTTCTTAATTTCTCTCTCATTGGATTTGTTATTTGTATATAGGAAGTGTATTGTTTTTTGAGCATTGACCTTCTATCTAGCTATGCTCCTGAATTTGCTTATTAAATCTAGCAGTGTTTTAGTGGAGGTTTTGGGGTCTTCTACATAGAATATCATGTTATCTGCAAATAATGATAATTTCTTCCTTTCCTATCATTATTCTTTTATTTCTTTTTTTTTTTTTTTTTTTCCTCCCCAAATGGGATAGTGTTCTTTTTTTTTTTTTAGTACCAGGAATTGAACTCAGGCACTTGCACTTGCCAGGCAGGCACTTGTGCTGCTGAACTCTATCCCCAGCCCCCTATTTTATTTCTTTCTCTTGTCTAATTGCTCTGGCTAAAGTTTTCAGGACTATATTGAATAAGAGTGGAGACAGTGGACATCCTTGTCTTGTTCCTGATTTTAGAAAGATTTCAGTTTTTGTCCATTTAGTATGATACTGGCTGTGGGTTTGTCATAGATGGCTTTTATCAGATTGAGATAAAGATCACCTATTCAATTTTCTGTAATGTTTTTATCATGAATGGGTGCTGAACTTTGTCAAAAGCTTTTTCTGCATTTATTAAGATGATTTTTGTCTTTGGCTCTGTTAATATACATATGTTGAAACATCCCTGCATCCCTGAGGTGCATCCTACTTGGTCATGGTGTACGAGGTTAATGATTTGCTGCATTGTTTGCTAGTATCTTGTTGAGGACTTCTGAATCTATGTTCATTAGGGAGATCGGCCTTCTCTTTCCTGGTTGGGTCCATCTTGTTTTGGTATCAGGGTAATGCTTGCTTCCTGGAATGAATTTGGAAGTATTGCCTCCCTTTGCATTTCATTAAAGAGTTTCAGCATTGATGGCATTAGTTGTGCTCTGAATTTTTTGTAGAATTCAGAATTTTGTAGAATGTAGAATTTTGTAGAATTTTGTAGAATTCAGAATTTTGTAGAATGTAGAATTTTGTAGAATTTTGTAGAATTCAGAATTTTGTAGAATGTAGAATTTTGTAGAATTCATCAGGGCCTGGGCTTTTCTTTGTTGTTAGGTTTTTAATTACAACTTCAATTTCATTGATTGGTTTATTTAGAATTTTTTTTTTTTTTTTCTGGTACCCGAAATCGAACTCCTGAACTTGGGCTTGTCAGGCAGGCGCTGTGCCGCTGAGCTAAATCCCCAGCCCCTATTTAGAATTTTTATAACTTCTTTATTCAGCTTTGGTAATTCATCTGTATTTAGGAATTCATAGGTATCTGTCCATTTCTTCTTCATTTTCTATCTTACTAAAACACAAATTTTCAAAGTTGATGTAGATATCTTCTGGATTTCTGCTGGTTCTGTTGTGATTTCACCCTTTTCATTCCTAATTGTGTGGATTTGAGTCTTTTCTTTCCTTTTTTCCATAAGGTTGGATAAGGGTTTGTTGATTTTTATTTAATCTTTTAAAGAACCAACTCTGATTCATTGATTCTTTATATTGTTTTCTTAGTCTCCAGTGTGTTAATTTCTGCTCTGATGTTTATAATTTCCTGCCTCATATGAGCTTTTGGCTTAGCCTGCTCTTCTTTTTCTAGAAGTTTGAGGTTTACCATTTAGTTGTTTATTTGCACTTGCTGTTTTTCTGATACGAATATTTGCTGCTATAAATTTCCCTTTTAGCATTGCTTTCGTTGTGTCCCATAAGTTCCGGTATGTGGTACTGTCATTATTATTTAATTGTAGAAACTATCTAATTTCTTCTTTAATTTAATCTGTGACCCATTGGTTGTTTAGGAAGGTGCTATTTAATTTCCATGTTTGTTTGTTTGTTTATTTATTTATTTATTTATTTATTTTGGTTTTTCTCCGGTACCGGGAACCGAACTCACGACCTTGCACTTGCCAGGCAGGCGCTTTTGCTGCTGAGCTAAATCCCCAGCTCCATGTTTTTTTAAATGAAGTTCTTGTGGTTTGTTCTGCCATTGGTTTCCAGTGTCATTTTACTATGGTCTGATAATATGCATGGGATAATTTCAACTCCTTTGGATTTACTTAAGCATGTTCTATGAGATAGCATATTGTCCATTTTGGAGAAGGTCCCGCATGCAGCTAAGAAGAATGTATGTTCTGATGTTGTGGGATGGAACACTGTAGACATCTATTAAGTCCATTGTTCAAGTTTGGTTCAGTTCTAATATTTCATTGTTGATTTTTTTTTTTTTTTTCTAGGTGATCTGTCTTTTTGTGACAGTGGGGTATTGAGATCCCCCAATACAATTGTATTAGTACTTATTTGATTTTTCATGTCCATTAATATTTGTTTTATATAGTTGGGTGCACTGGTATTTGTTGCATATATATTTATGATTGTTATCGCTTCCTCTTGGATTGTTCCCTTTACAAGGATGTAGTGACCGTCTTTGTTTCTCTTGAGCAGTGTTGGCTTGAAACTCACTTTGTCTGAAATAGAATAGCTACCTCTGCTTTTTTTTTTGGTTCCTGTCCCATGAAGTACTGTTTTCCATCCTTTGACTTTCAGTCTGTGAATTTCTTTTTGAATTAAATGTGTTTTTTTTGTTTGTTTGTTGTTTTTTTGAGAAGGATCTCACTGTATAATTCAGACTGACTCCTGGACTGACTATATAGGCCATGCTTGCCTTGAACTTGTAGCAATCCTCCTGCCTCAACCTCTGAATACTGGGATTAAAGGCATGTGCCACCATGCCCAGCTAAATGTGTTTCTTTTATGCAGCATATTGTTGGATCTTGCTTTTTGATTCATTCTGCCAGTCTTTGTCTTTTGATTGGTGAATTAAGACCATTAACATTAATGGTTATAAATGACACATGTTCACTTATCCTTATGTTATTTTCCTGTTGCCTCTCCCCTCCCTTTTTTTCCATCCCTCTGTGTAATTGTCTGCCTTGCCTGGTAGATTCCTTTTGTTTGGGTTCATGGAGTTGTAATCCTTGTTATCTCTTTCTAGAATATCCTTCAAAACATTTTTTTTTGTTTTTTGTTTTTCTTTTGGTACCAGGAATTGAACTCACGACCTTGTACTTGCTAGGCAGGTGCTGTGCTGCTGAGCTAAATCCCCAGCCCCCTTTCAAAACATTTTGGCGAGGTGGTTTGGTGGTCATAAATTTCCTCAGATGTTCTTTCTCATGGAAGTATCTTATTTCTTCATCAGTGCTGAAAGATTGTTTTGTGCGGTACATCCATCTGGGTTGAAGGTTGTTTTCCTTTAGCATTTGAAGTACTTCACCCCTCTTCACTTCAGTCTCTCCTTGACTTGAGGGTTTGTGCTGAGAAGTCAGCTGTGATCTTTATGGGCTTTCCTTTTTAGGTGATTTCTTTTCCCTAACAGCTTTTAAGATTCTATTCTTGTCTTGAATTTCTGGACTTTTTTTTTTTTTTTTTTTTTGGTACTGGAAATTGA